CCACGAACCTGTATTTTCTTCAGATCTACTTCGTTCGATGCTTAATTTTAATAAGGCATTTCTATGGTCGCCTTCTACAGCTAAACGATTTTTATCGATATCTTTTAATTCGCTAACCTCAGTCAACGATTCCTCTTCACTTGTGATTCTTACCAAGTGGTCTGGTATTTCTTCTTCATTCTGATTTGCTAATTTACGATTATCAAGTTTTCTTCGTAAAAATTTGCTGACAGTAGATGATGCTTTTTTCATCTCAGCCATTATTTGCGTATCTTGTTCTGATTTATGTGACGAATCTCCTGAAGAATCTATATATTTCATATCAATAGAATTGCCCAGACTTTCTTTTTCTATGCTCGATCTTGAATCAGAAGAGCTCTTAATAAGATCTGGTGGTTTGGCAGCTGTGCGCTGTTCAAAAAAATCTTTAGATTCTTGGATAACCTCAATATCTTCTAGTTTTTTATTTCTTTTTACATCTTCTGGTTCTTTGGCTTCAGTTTCATCTACTGTTAGCCACACATCCAAACTAGTTCCTTCAAGAATTATTTTATCATCTTCCTCAGTCTCCAGGCGAGCTCCATGAATATCCACTGTGACAGTTTCTAATACAGCCTCCATCTCAGGTGATGTTTCCTCAAGATCCTTAGCATGCATTGAGGAAATGGTCTCTGGTTTAAAATCAAATTCATTATCTTTAAAATCATCCTTAGTTTTACTATCCAGATCCAAGCTTTTACCAAGTCTTTGAACAGTTTTGCAATTTTCCGAATCTGAATCACCAGGATTAAGATCGAGACTTTTAGTGATTTTCTTATCCAGTTTTTTGGGCGATTTAGTTATAATTATGGCCTCCTCCAATGAAACACTAGGTTCTATAGTGTTTATACTTATTTCTAGTCTGCCATGTCTTTCTCTAACAGTCTCTTCTACCTGTGGAAAAACTGGAAGAACATCTTTAACAGGACTTTTAATGGTTTTTGTTTGTTTAATAGCTATTTCGTACAACATCTGTTGTTTTTCTTTGCGTTTAGCTATATCTGTATCGCTCTCATCTTGTGATTTTGTTCGTTCTTTACTACTTGTTCTACGTAGCTCCAACTTTTCAAGAGATTTTGCCCTTTCTGATTTTCTTACATCTGACTCTTGTGTTTTCGATGTAATCTCTTTAGTTTGTTCGGATTCTTTTCTAGTGGGTACCGATGTTTTAAGAGTTGTAGGTTTTTGTGGTTTCACAGGTTTAGGCGGTAAAGCCTTAACAGAACCTATTTTATCTTTTATAGGTTCTTTCGATACTGTTTTAGCCGTTGTTTTGGCTTTATTAATCTGCTTAGAAGCGTACATTTTTGTTTGCACTGTAGGTTTTGCTACCTTTTTGGTGGATCTAATTACTTCTGGTACAATTTGGTCTCTTTCTACTTTAGTGGGCTTTTCTTTCGGCCTATATTCTTTTGTATTATCTTTGGTTGGTATTGGATTGGATTCTTTTTTAAGTGGTACAGGTGGAGCAATTTTATTACTAGAAGACAATCTTGTTATAGGTTGTTCTCTTTTAGGAGTTGCGTTTTCTTGTTCTTCTGTAGTAGTCGATTTAATTGATTGATCACTAGCTACTTCTTCTGAAGTTCCTTTAAATTGGTCTTCTTCTTCAAGTGTATCGTCTTTGCTTGAAAAAGCATTAATTGGTGGCAATCTACTGACTGGTATTATGGGGGCATCTAAACTTTTGGCTCTGCGGCCTGGTAATGGTGACTCAAGTGCTTGTTGTTTTTTAAGTAAGGTAAAAGCAGTACCTTCCGATAAATTAAGACGGGCATGGGCAAAAAGTAAAGGACTTTGTCCTTTTCGCCGTAACGACGGAGAAGGTATTTCCGTAATTGTAGATCTTGACGGTACTCTCAAATTTTGTATGTCTTTTTCAATATCGGCATTTAAAAGCTGTTTTTCTCGCTCGCGTTCTTCATCCAAAGCTGTTAGCTCTTTTTCTAATACAAGCTCTTCTTTAAGTGTTTCGTCATTGGATTTCTCACCATCTCCATCTAGCTCATCTACGGTGTTTAGTATGTCTGGAACTTCAGCAAATACAGGTTGTAAATCTGATATTTTAATATTAAAATCATCTTCCGAGCTGGGTATTGAGAAAGAACGTTCAGATATTCTTCTTAACTCTGTTTGAACATTGGGATCTAAGCCATCATAAGGTTTGTCAGTTTTCTTTCTTGTTGTTGGGGGAGATCCTTCAACCTCCGTAGATGACATTGTATATTGTAAATATTTTCTTTCCGACTCAAATTTCAAAATTGATTCCATTTCCTTTCTCATCTGAGGCGGTGAAAACTCCATTCTTGTGGGAGTGGCTTCAGTGCTACCAAAAACATCATCCGAATCTAGGGATTCATCATCAGAACTAAATGAAGTTATTCTTACTTTAGTTTTATTAACTCTGCCCACTTTGCCTTTACCAGGTTGCATACGTGGTTTGATAACTCGTTTAGGTTTTATGTCGGTTTTAATTTTATTAGGTTCTTTTAGTTTTATTTTGCCTTCAGGTATATCTTTCATTTCTAATATTTTTGCCTGATTTACTTGGTCTTCGATTTTCTTTAGATCCTTTTTAACTTGTCTATCATTTTGCATTATAAATATTTTATGAAGTGGTTTTAGACTTTCGGTTTTAGAGCTAGTAGGAGAATCACTTTCAATTTGACTTAATTTTGAGTTTAAGGCTTCCAACAAAACTGGATCTATGCGAGTTATATCGCGTTTGGGACTGGATAAATGATGTACTGGAGCAACACTTTTATCTATTTCCAAAGTTACTGGATCTACTTTGGATAAATCGATGTTTTGCGTAAATAAGAATGATGTTTCTGGTTCTAGCTTAGTTTTTAGTTTACTTTTTATTTCTTCCGCCATACTGGCTATAACCTGTAAATCCTGTGAAGCTTTTCTTTGTGAAACTTCAGGCTCCACAATTTCATGTTTACGTATATTATCCTCCTGTGCAGTTCCATTCATCACATGTCTTTTGTGTAAAACGTAAGAAATATCGTCATCTTTAGGAGGTAAATTAATAAAATCTGATTGCGTTTTGGCTCCTAAAACTTCAAACTGACTCTTTGGTACCTCAAACTTGGTTTTTTGTCCTTTGACTTCTCTTTTAAGAATGTCAAAATGTCCGAATTCGGCTGTAGGCATTTCAAAACGAGTACCTTTGTATTTTGTAATTGGTGGAGCGCTTGGTATTTGTTTATATAAATAATCCTCATCGCTAGACTCATACGGGGTTAAATCGATTGACTTTTGATGCATCAATAAAAGGCGTCTGGATGAGGATAGTCGTTGTCGGGCTAAAGAATTCGGGTCTGATTTGGTTCTTTCTATAGGTTGATGAAGGGGCATTTCATGGCAGATTCTTGGTTCAATTTCCATAAATACGTCTCTGTAATTTTTCTTCGTTTCTGGCTTTGCATCATCAATATTTGGCACTATTCCGAAACCATCCAAATCACTGCTTTCTTGAAGAGACTGGATTTTATCTTCATCAAAACTGAATATATTACTTTCGGACTCTGTAGATCTTTGTACACTTTGGCTTTTTCCCCATTCAATTTCAGTTGGTACCCCTGGAACGGCTTCCGGCCAAATATGTGTTGTTTTGCTTTGTGAGTGTTCTGATTGGGTTCTGGCATGGTGCGATTGTTTTTGAGTTCTTGGTATTGTATTTTGTTCCAACATTCTGCTGGAGCGTATACTTTGTTCAGTTTCGACGTTTTGAAGGCTTATAGAATGTACATGAGAAGTTTCTTTACCATTTTCATCATGTCGACGATTTTGAGTACCATAGTTTCGTTCAAAGCTAATTTTACGATCAAAATCTTTTTTATAGTGGAACTTGCTATCTTCCATTTTGGATGTAGCGTCGTAGTATTCGCTTTTAGATTCAAGACTTGATGACTTTGATTCAAAATAATCGTTTCTTTTATGGATGTGTTCAGCGCTTTTATTTTTCCGAATTTTCTTGGTTTCATCAGATTTGGATTCTTGACTTGATGTTCTAGAGCCGAAGCTTCGTTCTCTATCGACTTTTTTAAGAGATTCTCTACTGGATTTTGAATTTTTAGACTCGTAGTAGTCACTTTTAGATTCGAGGCTTGAGGTTCTAGATCCACTTTTGTAATGTCTGTAAAAACTGCCGTCGGATTTTCTAGGTATAATTTCTCTAGGAAAATCTCTAGGGTCTTCTATTGTAAATATGTCTGTATAAACATCGTTGCTGCTTTTACATTTATGCTGTTTGCCTTCTGAATCAGAATCAGACGGAATGTAATTTCCAGAGTCTAAGCTGCAGCTGCGCGTATTAAGCGGTTTGGGTTTTTTGTATTTTAATTCGACGGAATTTTCGTAGTCATCGTCGGATTTTTCGAGTAGTTCATAGCTGTCGTGAGAAATATCGTCTTGCGAGTCACGTAGGTCATAGTTTCCAGGGTCTTCTACAGATTCCTGAGAGTATGATGTCGTGCCCGGATAGCTACTGGAATATACTTTTTGATCGGGCACCATAATATCTTGGTGAATTTCTAAACTACTGTCGCGGGAAGTGGAGTATAATAAATGGTGGTCGTCGTACCTAGTAATGGGAGATTCAAGCTTTCGTTCTTCGAAACTAATGACAGCTTTTTCTATTGGTTTAGGAGGCTTTGTCCGGCGCTTGGCCTGGCCGGAATCCTCGAAGCTGAAATCGTACAAATCGCGACAACTGGCGCTACGTTGCCAGAGCTGCCGTTTGGGAAGCGCGGATACAGAATAAATATACTCGTAACGGATTTCGTTAGTTTGGGATGCGGTTTTCGGGTTGAGATCATTTTGCGATTGGGTCTGCGAGGGACATATATTAGTAAAGTTATTAGTAACGGTTATGGGATGGTCAAGCGAGCCCTCCGACTTGTGACTAGAGGGCATCCGGACAGTGGAAGTGTGAGTGCGGTTGTTGGAGGTACCTGTATCGGCCGTGTGAAGCGGAGCGTGGACGGCGATCGAAGCCGTGGCAAACGGCGTTGCCGATTTGATGGTGGGATGATGATGTCGCTCCTCGATTGTGACTGTATGCTGCGGACTCGTAGTCGCAGAAATCAGAGGCGAGCCCGATTGCGTCGTCAGAGGAGGTGATGGCGAGCTCGTCGTCTGAGCAAGCAGCGTGGTAGGCCTGGTGTCGGGGGCCGAGCTCCAGGATGTAGCTGTGCCGAGGTGGCGATAGGCTGATTTCATCGTCGGAGAAACCGGCCCCACAGCTACGCCCATCGACCCCAGCGACCCCGAGAGTTTGGACACTTCCACTGCAACACCACATCCAACACAATTTATTTACGTACATATCTACATTTCTATCTATACAACAAAATTATTATACAGGGTGTTATGTAATTAATGTTATATATTAAAATACTAAATACCTTTTGACATAAGGAATAAAGGAAAAATATTTTAAAAAGCATTTTTCCAAAGATAAAGAAAAAATATGCATTAGAAGTTTTTTGTGATACGCCACTGGTTACACACTTGTTTATCTCTGCACACCTGTTTTTTGTGAGTACATAGATACCAACCAACAAAGTAGCTAAGCGTTGCCAGATGTAAAAAATTGTTACTAAAAATTTTTCTTGCAAAAAATAAATAAAAACTCAATAAATACAAAAGTTTTATGCCCTTAAAGCTTTAATACCCTTCTGTATTTATTTACTGATCCAGCTATTAGCTTAAGCAATGGTTAGAAAATTTAGTACCTTTGAAATTTGAAATCCATAACCACAAAATTAATTTTTTCATCAGTTTTTTTCTCTGTTTACTCAGATGAAATTGGGACCAGTTCACAGGTTAAACTTTAAACATTTAATTTGTGTAAATAAATCCAAAAGCACTTCCCTTAGTTAAGATATTTACAATTTGAAAACATAACCTAAAATTTAAAAGAAATGCACTAGATTCTGTCATAAAAGTTGGCAGATTTTGTTTGAATTTACCTTCAGTACAAAAATGAAATAACCAACAATTAATAAAAACGCCAAATTGACAATTTGCATTGTTAATTTTGTCATTTTTCTAATTAAGCTAAATTTAAACCACAGGTCTGTGATTTAAACAATGTTTGTCAACTTTTTTGAGAGATTTTGGAAACTGTTGTTGCCAACCATATCATAATAAATCCACCAGATTAACCTAAAGTTCCTAGTCGATCAGTGGCGTACTTTTTGGTAGGATAAAGGTTATTTAGAAAAAAAAAGTTTCAGGTGCTTCTTTATGGACCCTAAGGAACAACCCATTTTAATATATAACATTAATTACATAACACCCTGTATACAAGTTTGCGGATTACTTAAAACAGCGCATTGCTTTTACAAGGTTGGTCTTAATAATCTTCTTTATCAAATATATTTGAATTTAAGTTGCATTCAATGTTATTTTTAATCTATAGGATAAGGCGAATAAACTCAAGCGTGGGCATTTTATTAATTAAGCAGCTTAAACACATGAAATTAAAACTTTTTTAAAAAGCAAAAGGGCACAGCTAAAAATTAATAAATGTATTAATTAATCTTTAAAAATGTATTGGCGATTACCGAATTTAAGGTCAAAACCAAAGGCATTTTAAAATGGGCGAAAAAAAAGTTTTGTATTTATTTGTATTTTATTATTTCTGAGAAAATTAGTCACTTTTTTCTGTCATGTCTATGCAAACTAACAAACTACAATTCCTAACTGAAGAAAAAATTAAAGGGCAAATGTGCTACAAAAAGCAAGAATGTGGCCCAACCATAGCGGTCATTTGTTGGATTTTCTTTTTTCATACATAATTCAAATTTAAAAAAAAAAACAATCGACCAATTTTGTCAAATTCTTTGTTAAGTTATAAAACTTACTTTTTTATGATATTGTTCAAATATAGCCAATTCTTTCCCTGGCACTTGAAGTCGGAAATTTATAATCAAGCTCCGACAAGTTTGCTCAGTTATGGCTTTCATTTCTTGCCGAATATTTTCTTTTTTTAAGTCCCCCAAGGGCAAATTAATCAAATCCTTTAAGGTAGTTGTCGTGGTACAATATTGACAAAAATTTTTAGGTTATAATCACCGTAAAAGTATACGAGCTTGTAGTTAAGTGATTCATAATTTTTTCGCAAGACTGTACCCTGGAGACGTTACCTTTACGTAATACTTTCAAATATTTTCATAAGTTTTAATCCGGCAACGTTGCTTATGCTCAACCAATAGATATATTGGAGACTGAATCAGTTTGTTTGAATTACTTCGGAAATAATATCTATACTCGCGTACAGCGTTGCCAAGTTGTTTTTATCTGACACTAGTGATGTATACTTTTTACAAATTGTTGAACTTTAAACGGTTATTTATAAACAACTGGACGGTCAAAAAATTTTAATTATTTTTTTTGAAAGCTTCTGACAGTTAGTTTTTTAAAAACTAAGAAACTGGTACAGAACTACAGAAAGCGTATATATACAATGTATACAATCCATGTTAATTATCCAATTTTTAATTGAATTTATCTCGGGTTATAGACGGTCAATCGACTTCAAATTTTAAGGATAATTGTATTGTGATGTCCTTAATAAGTATACAAAAAAATAAAATTTTCTGATGGTATGCTTACAGCACGACAACTACCTTAAATTCTTGAGGAGCAGGTGTTAAAAAATCAAGTATCATATCGCCATTACGTTCGGAATTCACCGCGGCAACGCTATCGTTTTAAAAAAAGAACGAACCGATAATTCCGAATGCTGAAATTGCAGCCCAAACTGTAAAGTTTAATTGGGCTATGCCTTTGATGTTTCGTTTGACACCTGTAACGACAATTTTGTTTAATGACAAAGCCATAAATGAGCAAACTTGTCGGATGGTGTTGGCAAATTTTAGTCCGACTTCAAGAGGAGAAAAACATTTAGATAATATCATTAAAAAAATAAATAAAAGGTTTTTCTTCAACCTAATAAAAAAAAATTCAAAATTGGTCCATTGTTTTTTTTTTAATTTAATTTAAAAAAGTGAAGAACTAAAAGGTAGGTAATATTCGTTAAATGGTGTATTTTATTAAAAAATTAAATCCTGCGTTCACACCTTTTATAATAATTGAATTGAATGCTTAGGATTCAGCGTGTGCTCAGGGATCGAATGAGTTTTTTGTATGAATTGTTAGATCATATCGTGGTTATGGCCAATGAAAGAGATATTGCCGTAAAAATCTTATTTTTGGGATTTAGGTAAATATAACAAGGTTGGGTGTGGGGTGCTACCTACCGCTTAGGTTGCTGTCAGCTAGTGGCAACAGTGGATGGGCGGAAATGCTGTTCCCGACAGTACTGGTATGCATGTTGCTTGCGCTCGAGTGAGCGCTAGAATGACGGAAAGACGCCGACCTGCACACAGAACAGGTGGGGTAAAGTTTGTAATTTAATTTATTTTTGAATAACTTTTCTAATTAAACTTATTACCGAATCTACACACTTAACAGTTAGTATAATATTGAACTAATCAAAGCTTTTTTTTGAGTCGCATGGAGCACGGCTTAACATTTTTAAATTAATTTAAGTAAACACTGATGAATAACAATTTAACATCTTCATACCTACACCAAATCATGCAGTGCTATTGGTTATGCCACAGACCCTATTAATGGAAGTGGAGATAATAATTTTGATATTTTAGAGATTAATTGCTATGGACATATCAACTTTTTATAGTAATTTATCTCCTTTAATTTGTTTTATAAGTTTTGGAAAAAAAATAGTACACACATTTACATAAAAAAATAAAAACAAGATAAATTACTTTAATCTTTTTTCATCTTCACTATTTGAAGAAGTTAAAGAAACCAGAAAATATGTCCAGAATTAGGTCATTGGCCGATTATTATAATTTTAAAAATTCATTTCCATCCTCCTTCCCATACTATATTCTTTTTTGGTAAAATTTTTAGTAACTGTCGGACACAGCATTATCCAGTCCAATTGCTACAAAACAACCATGCTCCACACTCCACACAATTAGCTACTTTGACTTTAAACATTACATTAGTGGTTCATAAAGGGGCGTCATTCAAAAATTGACAAGCAGTTATTAATTGTTCAGCAGGAAATAATTAAATCCTAAATTTGAACAATAAATAGCTAGCATGCCATTATTAACAGGAATTTTAATTAAGGTTTGGTTAAGCGCATAACGACTTGCGGTTTACTACAATATTGTAAAGCTTTATATAATTGTTTAATATTAATGTGTAGTGTTTTGTATAAAAAGTATTTTAAGTTAAGTTTAATGTAAAGTTATTGGAGTTTGTTTGCGTATTAAAAGGATCATGCATTTTAGTTGTCTTACCTTTGAAAAGTTTGACGTTTTACGTAGTTGTCCCTAACGAATTCCACAATCTGTTTTTGGGTTTTTCCGCTATATCTGTAAAACAAATAAAAATAATTTAAGTAATTAAGTTTACATATTTTGTTCACAAGGTACCTAAAAGAACTTCCTCGTGATAAAACTCTGGTTTTATGCCTGGATACATTTTTTACTGAAGAACATCTAAAGAATCCATGATTTTCCACACACTTCTTCCAAAAATTCTTACATTCGTTTCTTCCTTCAAAGAAAAATTCGACCGTATCTTTATAATAACCCTAAAAATGCATGTGTTTAATTATTTATTTTTTTAATTCCTTAAATCTTACATATCCTTCTGGATGCAGTTTGATAAGAAATCTTTTTCGCTTGAACGAAATTTTTCGTATCTTCGCCCACGAGAACGTGTTTATTTTGGTATAAGCCTGGAAAACCACAATACCCATATGGGCAACAGCCAAATTCAAAGACATATTTTCATGATCTTTTGCAGGATGCATCTTAACCCCATAAAGTTCGCATCTTCTAGCTGTTTCTAGAAGGTTTAAGTCTGCTTCTGCTGGAGATTGGCCACTAAAAAATAATGCAGATTAATTAAAGTGTCATGAGTTTTATACAGGATTAAAAAGCGCATATTTACTAAAAAAAAAGTAATAACATTAAATGTTTGTTAATATTATTAACACAAAAAAAAAGATATCAATCAATATTGCAGTATATTAACAATAATAATTATTTTTTATTAAAAAAAGTTTAAAGTACCATAATAATGATCATATCAGTTAGTATAATTACAAATATACAGGGTGTCCCAGAATATGTGGGCAATCTTCCGGATTTAGATAAAACCCATAAAAATAAAATGAATGAAGAAAAAATTGCAAAAAAGATTTAGTTTTATCGTAACATAACAAATCTTAAAATTATGACGCCACTCGGGACTGAACATTTTGCTGTAATTATTATAAATTAAATACCTTTAATTTAGATCATAAGATTATTTGATTTACATTTGGCTTAAGAAAAATCTATTTTTTTAGTCAGACTTACGAATGTTTTTTGTGGTTCTCCATGATCTTTCTCTCCATTTCGTGATCTTGATGAGGTACAAACTTGTATGTGGACAAGTAGGTGTGGTCTGGATAGTCTTCTGATACGTAGTCGCCGCATTCTGCTTGCACAATGTAACTGGCCATTATGGCCGCCGTGTTGTCGTTACATTGCATGTAACCTTGAGAAAGGTCTCGTTTCACTTGGAGACAAAACAAGTAGCGTGTGTACTCTTCCTCCAGCTGACCTGGGTCGGGTGTGTAGAATTTAACACAGAAGCTCAGCAAGGGGTCAACTAGAGAGAGGCCTAATTGACGGGAAATCGGCTTTTGAAGATCCAACCAGTACTAGAAATAAACAATATATTTAGATTTTAATTTAATATTATATTTGGGTTTTTAAAAATTAATTAATTTTCTTCGAAATATCAGTGGTTCCCATGATACTGTCTGCCAAAGTTCAAGTTTTTATTTTAGGTTTTGGTTGGTCCTTATAAAAGAATATACAGGGTGTCCTGAAATTAGTGCACCATACTTTAACAGCAAATTCTACGTGCAAAAATAAGAAAAAGTCCCTATAAACATAGGTCAAGAAATACCTCTTAAGGGAGCTACAGCCCCCAAAAGGAAAGCCCCTGAAGATGGTTTTTATTTAATATCTCCAAAACCGTTAAAGATAGAAAAGTGAAATTTGGGGAATTAATTAAACTTTTTATGACCAATAAGACGTAACAATAACAATTTAAAAAATTTCATGAGGTTTGGGTCAGATTGATAGGGAGTGGGGTTAAAACCACCTCAACTATTTGTACGTATCTTGTACCAAAATTTGATGTCAGATTATGATATTTTGGAGTTTTGCACATAAAAAAGGTCATCTTGTTGAACTCCGCTAACATACACCGTTTTCGCTAGGGATAGAACGATACCGATATTGATATCGGTATATCGGCATATCGGCAATTGTTTCCGATTATCGGTATCGTATCGTATCGGCAAGATAATATCGGCAAAAAAAAATTATAACATATAATATTATAACATTTTTACTAAAAAAGTAAAACAAATCCTTACACCACTTACAACAAATATACCTAATGTAGCAGGTACTAAATACAGTATATACTTAATACTTAAAATTTAATTTCTTGATATTATGATGCAAAAACACCAACATTTCAGCCCTATCTGCATTTAGTCTATTTCTTTTAGGCTCGTAAATATTAAATATTATATTGTTTTAATGCATTTCTGCCAGAAATGCATTAAAACAAAACAAACGAATTCAATAAAAATAAAACCTATAAATTCTCAATCCCTACCACAGTGGGCGGGGTTTGGCACTTGTTTTATTTAAGTGTATCTATTCGTTTTAATACACACTGTATAAGGGGCTTCCCAGAAATCCGAAATGTCACTCACTACCAATCACAAACCTTTCCTCGCAACGGAATTAAAACGGGACTTCCCCGATTTTTGCTTCGGTCGTGTATAAATAGATGGCATTATGTTTGCCGATACGATATATCGGTATATCGGTATATCGGCACGTAAATATCGGTATCGGCCGATATATCGTATCGGCAAAAAAAAGTGATATCGTTCTATCCCTAGTTTTCGCTTAAAATCGATTTGAAAATTATTTTACATGGCATAAAAACTTACAATTAAATCACACCATAGAAATGGACTCGCGTGGTCCTTGGAATACGGCTGCCATGTTTAGGAAAAAATAGAATAATTCAAGACAGGTCACAGTTTCATGTAGTAAGTGACAGGGTGTTTCTACTTTTTTATAAATATAAGATAAAAACCATATAAAAACCTATATTTATAGGATTTTTTTTTATTTTTGCACGTAGAATCTGCTGTTAAAGTATGGTGCACTAATTTCGGAACACCCTGTATATAATGCTCCGTATCAAAGCACTACTACAACTCCGACCTCTGTATCCGCCATCTTTGGTCGCTCTTATGAGGTCTCCAAAAATACACATATTAGGTATAGCTGAACCCTTTCTTTATTCCCATTAGATATAACCTAATTATTTTAGTTATAATTAAAAAAAAGTTGTATATATAGCGTAAAATATTTTTTTCATAGTTAAATTTTTTAAATTTTATTTTATTACACCTATTGAACATGTAAAAGACTGTAATTAGCGACGTTTTCTTTCTTTTTGCAATAGATCAATGCATTAAACTGGGTCCTTCAAAGTCTAATTCTACTTATGCACGAAGTTTCTTTTAGCTCATAAGCCTACAGTAAAAGTTTTATAATACCTACCCTTGTGCCATGGTTGTCAGCATATTCTAAACCGAAATAGTCGGCTTCAAGTAAGTGAAGTTGTTTGCAGACTTGCTCGAACAGGACTTTTCCTACCGCTTTTGCCTGGAAAAACAAAAAGTGTTAATAAAATAAAATTACAAAAGTATTAATAAAACCAATTTAACAACGCATGGTTCTACAAGATTTTATGCTAAGAGTTGATTCTGGTAATTTTAAGAAGAAAAGTTAATTTATAGCAATGTACTATGCTCCACACTAAAAAGCCCCAAATTGACATTTAAATACAAATAATTAAGATTATCTATCTGTCAGTCTAACGCTAATTAATTTCGTCTAATTTTCTAAAAATAATACAGTATAATATATTATGTATTTTTTGTGTTATACATTAAAACCTTTATTATATGAGTGCATTAGATGCAAAACTTGTATAAACTGTAAATCTACATCAGAAAAATAAAAATGGACACAAACCATGCAGCTCATGATAGAAAATGTGCTGTTTATCAAAAACTAGTACAAGCCGAAATAAGGAAAACAAATTGTTCTAAACAATAGCAACTAAAAGACTCCAATGTTCTTATGATGTATCTAGATTGTCAAGGATTTCTGTACAATAAGAGTAAAACTGAATATGTAGCAGGTATATGGAAGCCAATTGTCATATGCTTAGTGTTTACACAAAAAGAAATAAAAATTAAAGGGTTAAAAATTGAGTACAATTTAGTATAATAAAAACATAAACAATGAAAATTTAATATGGTTGTTAACAATGGAATTCAAATATAAACAACAAAATATTTGATAAATACCATTCACCAAGTTCAAGCCATGCAGATTTTATAGAATACATGAATGAACTACTTGAAGAGATTATGGATTATGATGGAAAAATTGTTATACTTGAGAACTTTAATATTGACCTAAAAAAAAAGTCTTATTATGAAACTGCAATAAAAAACCTTTTTTATGAATATGGTATGTATTCAAATATGTTTTACATGGATTACTAAAAACAGCAAAACCCTCATTCATTTTTTAATTACTAAAGAAAAAACATTAGACAATTTCTAATAGACATATAGTGCATTTAACCCTCAAAATTGGTGATCACTCTATTGTAACCATTGATGAGGAAGAAAAGAATAATGAAGAACTTAAACATAACATAACAAAACGTAATTATAAAATTATAATAAAATTGAGTTCCAGAATCAATTTAGAGGTATAGAATTGGATAATAGAAGTACAAATGTAAATTATTTGTGTGAAAAATTAATAGAGTCAACCACAATGTGGAGTCAACACATTTTATTCTAAATGGCATGTGTCCAAATGTGCAATATACAGGTAATCAAAAATATACATAATATAAATAAATGAATTAATAACACAATATTAAATAAAATAAATGAAAAAAATATGGCATATAAAAGAGCAGTACCTATTTACCAATGAAAATTTGGATTGGCTTTATTATAAAAACAAGAAATGAACTTACTAAGTACCTTATTGAGAAATGAAAAACAAAATTATCTTTATAACATTATTAACACACAAGACAAAAATTAATTTTGATAAAACCTAAAAACATAATACCAAGTAAACATGATAGAGGTACTAATGAGTTTATTGAATTGTTGATGACATCTAGGTATCTACCTAGATGTGATCAACAATTCGTTAGAAAAAGGAGTATTTCCTGACACTATTATGGAATTTCTTCCAGGTATCAGAAAATACTTTTTTTTAACGAATCTACCTACAATTAATATAGCGCCAGTCCAAATAAGGCGATCAGTTTTGTAAATTTAAAAATTTACATAAACAATCATAGAACAACAACTCACTTATACGGACAATAGCAGTTTAAAATAGATTTTACGAGTGAATCATTAGCATTTAACCAAGTTCAAGGCATTAATAATGAAGTTGTTATATTTACTTAACAGTATGAAATCGTATAAGTACTTGGATATTTTACTACAAACTACCTAGCTGACAATTATTACAACCAAGTAGTTTTTAGTTAAATGTTTGAAAATAAATTATAAATTTTAATCACGCACATGTTATTGTTTACACAACTTATATTTAACCATAAATCATAAGTTCGTAAAATGAACATAAACTAAATGGTTAGTTATATGAAAAATTTGCGCATACACTAATTAAAAGTAATTGAATGAGGCCTCCGCCGTAATTAAAATTTATGACCAGTTATAATAAAATAGATGTAAAATTTAAAAAAAAATATTCCTTATATAAACAAAAACAACGTACCATCTAAACATTTAACCATTATATTTATAATTTAAAAAAATAAACTGAATTTTAAGATTAATTTTAATATGGATCTTATAAAGGTAATTTAAAATAAAATCATCCCAACCAAACAATTTCATTAAATAAAGTTCTTATTTAATAATTGTTAAATTTTTTACGTTTTTTGGTTATTATAATAATAATTATAATAATTTATAAATATAATAATATACATCCTTCATTCTGTCAGAACGGTTTTATATTAATTATATAAATATTAATGGGTTGTTAAAATTATACATATTAAAAACTTGTTGGTCCTCTCAAAACCAACTTTTTTAGAATTATTTCGGAAAATGAAATATTTTTCTTTGTTCTTTTTCAATGAAGTGTGTCTTTTGCTAGTGCAGAAGACAATAAGCAAAGCATAATATAGTTAGTACAACTTCCGTTACTCATAACTTGACATTTTATTAGCATGCACTTTAAAGGTGTCGTTTACCCCACAAGAAACGCTTGACACCGCTGCATTTTTAGTCGAAAATGTCTGTGAAAATTCCTTCATTTGCATTAAAAATATTATAAATGCGGCCGCAAATAAAACGTTAAATTTTAAATTAAATTTAATTAATATACATATGCCAGAATAGGTTTTATGTTCTTCTGTGATAATTGTTTATTCTTAGATGCATGACATAAAAGTTAATGGAATTACACAAACATTAAAAATAATTTGTATAAATATATGACAAATAATTTGTTTTTTCAATGTTAATAGTAACATTTAAGACCATTTTATAAATTTATAGAAATTCGGAAAAAATTATCTAAAGAAATATCCAGTGGCGAAACCAAGATAAACTGTTTTTTTGGTAAAAATTATTTTTCCACGCCACATTTCGTAATTATGTAAATAAAAAAACTGTTTGCCTCTTCTTCAAAAGTTCCAAAAGGTCACATGAAATAGGTCACTAAAAACAAATATAAAAGCTTTTATAACTAGTAAAAATGTTTGATATACAAGGTGTCCCTAAACTTGGTGGCATAAATTTAGGAGCAGAATAAGCAAGTCAAAATAAGACGAAAATCTAAATAAATATTTTTCCTAATTACGTATGTTTAAAAGATACAGGGTGATAAAGTTTTACTTATCATATCAGATTTTTTAATGTATTTCTACTGTGGCAGACTTCTGTGGGTAAAAGGCCTAAGGGGATAAGTCAAAAAAAGCATTTTTTTAGTAGAGCCTTAAACGTATTGGCATTAATTCAGGAAACATATTTATGGTTCGCGGATATACCCTTTTTTTAGCACATGGCATATGCTAACAAAAGGCTATACCCGCTAAACAAAAATATATTTCCTGAATTAATGCGAACACGTTAAAGGCTCTATTGAAAAATTGCTTTTTTTGACTTATCCCCTTATGCCTTTTACCCACAGACTTGGAAACGTGATATTTTGCGAACAGTCACTTACTACCAAAACACATATTCACACATAATTACAATTGTTCGAGTAAACTCAGTGTCGTAGAAACAGTGGTTGCTTAAGCTTATTGTCCCATACAAACTTTGAGGTTAGGTTTTTATACCATTTGATGCAATTTTTAGATTACTCAGTTCGGCTACTATTAAAAAGGTGTACCTCTCAAACTTTGATAAAATAAACCGTTTCCAAGATATTCGAGATTACAATAATTGTTGTATCGCATTAAAGGACTAGAAGGTATATGATAACAATTTTTTTAATTGAAAAAACTACAACTTTTTTAATGTGACGGTCAGAGCAAAAAGTTTTTTTTTAGTTTTTTCAATTAAAAAATAAAATTTGTTATCATATACCTTTTAATCCTTTTAAATAATGCGATATAACAATTATTGTAATCTCGAATATCTCGGAAACGATATATATAAAATATATTTTATCGAAGTTTGAGAGGTACAGTACACCTTTTTAATGGTAGCCGAACTGTGTAATCTAAAAATTGCATCAAATGTTATAAAAACCTAACCCCAAAGTTTGTATGGGATAATAAGCTTAAAGCAACCCCCGTTTCTACGACACTGTGTTCACTCAATCAATTATAATTACATGTGTGAATATGAGTTTTGGTAGTAAGTGACTGTTATTATTATAGGTTATTAAAAATGCATAGCAATGACGTCGGGGATTAATTAAATAAAATTAAAAAATTTAGCATCTTGCGCAAGTTTCGTAGGCATATTGAAAATAATTGAAAGAAGATCTAGAAGTAGTATAGGTATTTTTGACACTTTAATTATAATTTTTATTTGTAATGTTTATTAATAGAAAGTACTTAGGTACATCATATTTAATTCACACAGGTACTATAATTATAAATTGTAATATGATGAACAATATAATATATTATGATACATAAAATATGTAACGAAAATGAAAACAAAATAATTCTATTTATTAAAAATAAAAATAAACACCGAAAAAACATCAGGTAAAGTAAGAATTTCAGTCCCTGTTTAATTTTGTATTTCTATTTTTTATTTCCGACAGATATTGAAAGAGCAATCTTTACTTAATTAATCTATTTTAGATGAGAAAGAAAAGAATAAGCGCTAGACGGCAGCACAAACGGAGAATGTTTAACGCGTTGTTACATGCAAAATGTTTAAGGAAAATTATTTCTTACTTCAGATAATTATGGCTGGGACGCTTAGGTCCCTTTTCTTAGAGCGCGTTACATATTTTGAATGAATGAATGAATCGTGATTTTTGCATATTAAAATAAAAAATGGAAAAACAACATAAATTGTCGAGAATAAAAATCTACCAGGTCTGATTTATGTTGCCAAGTG